CCACATGCTCGTTTGCCCCTTCTTCTATATAAAAAAAAGAACTTTCAAATGTTCTTGCACAGAGGTCAAGTTGGTATTATGAATGCGGAAGTGCAATCAAATAGAGATTGTTAAATTTAGATAGGACTTATCAAATTTGCGTTTTTGTTGTATGTATTATGAAAAAGGTAACTTTATTTTTTTAGCAATAGAGATGAATTTCAAATAATATTGGTGGGAAATGTATTGCAGGAAAATATTTGTTTAAATACTACGTATGTTAGATATTTATTAACTTCCTTCTACGTAGCATTGAAAGGAAGTTAATGGTTTTAGCTGGCAGTCTGTTAGTCTGTATGCCGACACGATAACTTTCGTTCCACTGGACCGATTGACTTTAAATTTGGTATGTGGATACCTTGAGGTAGTAGCTTGGTCGAATTTGAATTTGGGTCCTGTAGGTCAAAGGGCACCAGAGATATGGGATTCACGCAGAAGGAAGTTGTTTTTCTTGAATTTACATTCAACTCGTTATGAATTATATGAGTTTTTGTAGCTCAGATGTTAAGAGTAATAACTCGTAATAACCTTCTAAAAAATTATAGGCGGCCTGTGCTTTAATTTATTAAATTTAGGATTACTTAGTTAACTTAAATGTTTATTTAGAATTTTTGAAAATCCCAATTTTTAACTGTATAATATTCTTAGAAATACCTCTCAGCTACATAAACAGTTTCAATAAATTTTAACAATAGAGAAAATGTATTTTTAGTCAAAAATATGTATGGGTCCCTGTTACAATGTTATAATAAAAAAAATTAATGAGAGCAGGTAGCAGGATCTTGACAGGTGGAGAATAAAGTACAAATTCTCTGCTACGCTTTCGAGGTGTGCAATATTATAACAAAACGTTACGAAAATTTAATGTATGTTAACAAAAACAAAGGTAGTTTTAGTAAAAAAAGTGATATACATTCTATAAACACTAGGAACAGCCACAAGCTAGTGATACCAGTTTCTCGACTCCACAGAGTCAGTAATTCATTCTTGGGGCAATGTATACGCTATTACAACAGGGTCCCTGAAAGTGTACAGGCTGTCTCTATTACCAAGTTTAAATGTTTTGTTAAGTTGAAACTGTATAAAAAGGGTTATTATAGTATAAATGAATATATGGTTGATAATAACCCCTGAATGAGGTGATCGCTTCCAAGCTGTTTCTAAAATAAATTTTGTACCAACCGTTAATGTAAAATATGCTTTTAAAAAATAGTAAAAAAAAAAGTATTTTTTCGAATCAGTGGTTAAGTAAAAAATGACTTTCAATAAGAATTACACATGTGATCTATATCCAATAAAAAATGATTCTATTCTATTCTAATCTAAAAAAAATCATATTCTTATAAATTATATTATTATCATCCGATTTTGAGCTACATTCAAAATTTCTACATTCAAAGTCTCTAGCTCATTGGGATGTTAGTTTAAAATTCACTTACTATATTCGACCTGAACAGACATGCATGAACGTGAGTTTTGACGGCTCCGTGGCGCAGTGGCAGTAGCAATGAGTTGCAGCGCTAAGGGCTGCTGGTTCGAATATCGCACGTAACAAGTATATGTATGGCCTACAAATAATTGTTATGGGTCTGGATGTTTGTCCTTGTGAAATTTATGTATGTAAACTGCCCCCGCGATACAGGAGAAAATCTGAGTGTGGAAGTAACTTTTTATTAATAAAAACTTTACGCTGTAGAGCTATGCTGCAGCTATATTAGTAGTATAGTTGTAGCACGAATGGGTCGGCTCGACCGGGTGGCAACGCATCATCTGCATTTTGATTCGCATGCGAGGATAGATGTAGATGTCTATGGGCCACAGCAACCACTTACCATCAGGTGGATTGTGTGCTCGTTTGTCACCCTACCCTATATAAAAAAATCAATTGATTTCTTATATTGACGCCATTTCTAAGCATCGAAAAAAAGTAGTAATTTCTTACAGCATAGGTCAAGAGGGACAAAAGATAAAGTGAAAATTAACCATTATATAATCCATTAAATTCGTTTAATCAATGGATACGAGGGTGACACTGAAAGTTCTTAGAATATCAAAAACTGAACAAACTAGCAAGTTATTAGTTTTATTATATCTTTTCAAAATAGTGTGCATTTACATCAATACATCGCTGCATCCGATGGCACCATATTTTGACTTGTTATCAAGAAGATGGTGCTGCCAATCTTCTGTTTCATTTCCCTCCGGATTGTCTTACGCCGCCTCTACACTCTGCCCCTGCGACAGTAACCGCAAGTAGTCTACTTTGCGAGAAACCCACGTCCCGTTGTGGATTGTTGAATAATTTATCGTACTACTAGCTGTTCCCAGTTACTTCGCTCACGTGGAATTATGATTGGACTTTATGGGTTTTAATTTTTTTTGCACGGAACCCTATTTCCTTTTCTAAAATAAAAGTGGTCTAAGTTACTCCTTGTAACATTAGCTATCTGCCAGTGAAAGTCCCGTCAAAATTGGTCCAGCCGTTTCGGAGATTAGGGAACAAAAATTGTGTTTTTGTTATAAGTACTGTATATACTTTCATATGGATTTAATTAAAAGCTGTTATTTTGACATTACAAACGGACACTTCAATTTTATTTATTTTTACAGATTTTGGAAACTATGGATATGAATGTACAATGCACTTTACCTACGCAGTTTCGTAGTTATCGCTACTGATTTTTAATCGGAAATAGATAAATGGTTTTGACATAACTTTAGATAATTCCCATTATATTTTCAAGGTTCAAGAACGAATAGATACTGGAAGGAGGAAATAGGTTTCAAGCATTCGAATATTAATAATGGAAAAACAAACATCATCATCATCATCATTACACATATATCCATCTCACTCGCACTTTATCTTATCTTGCCATGAAAGAAATATTATTTTATTTCAAATGACGCTTCATTTTAATAGACGCCAGTAATTCATCTATTTGTATTTGTTAATCAATAATACGAGTATAATACCTACGATTATCAATAATAATATACTACGCAAGGAACTTCGTTTCAACCTTAAGCTAGGGTCCCACGGCCTGTTTTGTCACAGATCAGACCGCGCCAGGCCGGACAACAGGCCGTGGGAACCATCGCATCCGATGAGGCCTGTGGTGGCCTGTTGGCGCCCGTCCGATCCATCGGGAATCGGTAAGATCAAAGGCGCGGCGCGGCGCGGCGCGACGGCGCCTGTCGCGGCCTATACGGGCGCGTCTGCGTCGGTTGCAATCGTTCATTTCAACTGCGGTGGCGCTTGCGCGTACATGCTCATGATGAAATGGACAAACGAGCTTATATTCGAGTTTTTAACTCTTTATGAAAATGAACCAGCGCTTTGGAATAGTTCGTCACCTCAACATAAAAACAAGAACGGCTTTTGTTGAATGATGACACCCACCAGCGTCCTTTTTTCTGCTTTCTTTTTGCTTGGTTTATCAAACGTTCACCACTGAATAAAACCACCGCGGCCGCACACGCAGCCATGCGCTCCGTATCACTTCACATGTTGGAATGTCAGTCGACAGGCCGCACCAGGCCGGCACACGCCGTGGGAACGCTCAGCACGGGCCGCGACAGGCCCATACAGGCGGGACAAAGCCTGGCGCGGCCTGTCGCCTGGCAGGCCGTGGGACCCTAGCTTAAGATGTTTTTAAACTATAGATACGTCATACTCGCTCTAAAATGGCAATACGAAAGTCAGGTAATTGCCCGACTCGCATTCAGTCGGGCACGATCTTGCGTCGCGGGTATACCTTCGCTACAGCGCGTAAATCTTCTAGTTATTCGTGGTAAAAATGCCTTCCTGTGTTTTTAGGTAGTGCACAAATTACACGGCAACTGTTAGAGATAAGAAAAACGTCTCATCAATATTTTGAATATAGACGTTTTGTTCATAATTGGTTTTATTATTTCAACACTAACCGCTAGTGCAAACTTTGACGCTAGCTAGGTGTTCATTTCCATACCGGAATGTCACGCGCTCGCACCAATGAGCGCTCAGCAGCAATCGATACGCAACTAATGTACACTGTATATTCATCTTTTTCTAACGATAGGTATGCCGTATCATTTGTCTCTTTTTGTTAGCGCAACGTGTCATAATAAATAACTGTACGGATATATAGTACTACCTGCGCCACTTTAAAATACAATAATGTTAGTGTGTAACCTGTCTATCTTTTTTAATACGTCTTTGGTTTCAACGCGAGTGTTCAACGACACTCACGCATTTTTTTTTGTAACTGTGTTAACTAATTGAAGTCTTAGATACACTACACATTACGGGAGATGCTACCAAATTTACAAAGTACCAATAAACATAAAAGTGTAAATGTGCTGGTACTTTTTATGTGTTTGCATCAATTATTGTAAGTGTTATAATAATCGACAATCTGTTTTGGCGGTGTAAGAATATCCACTACCCCATATCATTCCTTGGGTGTCGTAAACATTCCTGATAAGGAAATCTATGGTGGAGGCCTATGTTCAGCAGTGAATGTTATAGTTTGTCATGACACTACTAAACAATCTGGTGGTCACTAACCGCTAAGTACCTACATGCTTCAATTCAATTAAAAGTTAAATATTGAATAAAACTATTTTTACGGATTTTATCGCGTTTAATTAATTTATTTTATATTCCCGACGTTTCGGTTGCTTTCCAGCAACCGTGGTCACGGGGGACACGTCGGGAATATAAAATAAGTTAATTAAACGCGATAAAATCCGTAAAAATAGTTTTATTCAATGTGTAGTGTTCGCGTAAATATAAGAAATCATTATAAAAGTTAAATATTTAAAATTACAGTCTATATATTGTTCCTGGTGCAATGGATTTATACAATTACCCCTCTCCATTCTTATCTCATCTCCATCTCTTAGACAAACCAATGGAGTCTGCAGAATTGACGTTAAATCGATAAAAAACTTAAAACGAATTTGTTCTGAAATAACAGAGAAGGCGTCATCAGCGACTTTACCAAGACAGAAGACGGAACAGAAGAAGCCTGAGACAGGGCCCAAGCTTTCCTCACACTCGTCTTTCTCAAAATTCGAAGAGAAGCGGCTTCGCCAAAGCGAAACACTGAAGAAGGCCAACTTGCTCAAGTTCAGTGTTTTTAAGAAAAGCAGCACAGGTGCAGTCTTTTTTTGCAATTAAAAAAAAGATTAATATACCAATTTTAAACACTTGCTGCACGCAGTGCAATAAAATGGGGAAACGAGACGCCGCCTGTTGCGCCATCTGTTGCACTTACGGGCCTTACGGCAGGTATAGTGACGCACCATTGTCATGTCAATGTGTATATTATGAAAAAGTAAAGAATGTAAAATAAAAGAAAACTATTCAATAATTAAATTTATTATTAGTCCTTTTTAACTTATGTTAAATCAATAATCAGCAACGTCAAATGTCAAATGACTATAGAGGCATATTACAACAGGTATTTGTCTCCCCTAACTGTAATTAATATTTATTGAATTACCTTTGCAGAGTAATTTTTAAAATACCTGCACTTATCAATAAACTATCGCGCGCCAGCGCACACTATTTTCAATAAGAATCCATAAGCGGTTATCGATAAGTGACCCATCTGCACGTGTCTGTCCCTAGCGCACCGATGATTTATGCTACTAATTAGTGTTGTACATTAGTATAATAATGCTTTTAACATAAATCATATACCCGTTACCTAAGTAAGCTTTAAACATTTAATAGAATCAGGCGCTATTCAGTATTTATATAGAATGTTAGCTTACAGCTAGCACTAACTGGGTAACTGGCTAAGATGCTCTTTACTGGTGCTCTTCGAACTATGTAGTATGTTATAAAACGGAGGGTTCGTTTTATTTATTACTCGAAGCATAGCTGATCATGACCGTGATTCTAATGTTTTTATATATAGAAATCCGGAATTAGTCGATAAAAATGAATACTTTACTTACTGACTTAATAATATCTGTAGATGACCACGAATCGGAGAGACGGTCCCAAGAGTTCAAGATACCGTCGGCGGTGAACGAAGGTATGAAGCGCGACTTTCGTGTTCGTTTCCCGAACCTACCGGCGCAAGTGGACCGCGACACTCGCTTGTTCGTGCACAGCTTTATAATGGACGTTATTAAGTGCTCCGACGTTATGACGGTCGATGAGCTGTCTGAGAGGGTCCAGCGGCAATATCAGGTGAGCTTTGTCAACCATATCTTGGGTACTTTATTGTATGATGACGTTTCTATGTTGTTTTCAGAAGGTATTCAAATATAGGACGTAGTACTCAGATCTATAGTTAAATGTTTTTACAATTTCCACAGACTAATTGCATAATATATAGTTTCCTTACTATTAGAGGATATCCGGGCAGTATTTAGTCCGTCCATACAAACATATTCCTCTATTTTTTCCCTCAATAATGACACTTGAGAAAATATTTTCACGATAAGATCTATATCAACCACTACGATGCTTCTGTTTTTTCCCGTACATTTGCAGTTATTTTAAAAACTGAGAAACTAAAATAAAAAAAAAAACTGCCATACAGCCCTTCTTATTGATCTAGCAAATAAATTTGAAGAGCACAAAGAAAAATTGTCGCATCGAGTTTTGGAGGAGGAAACAGGGGAAATATGGGATGTTAATATTTTCCTCAATGAGTTTGACAAGCATGTAAAAATTTGGCATTCAAATATATATCTATTATAAAATCTTATTTTACGCACATGACACTAGTTTTTGTTTCACGTCAATACATGCAGTAATACCGTAGTTATTACTTGGAGAATTCGGAGCGGTTTTTCAAATTCACGATATTTCGCGCGCTCGTGGTGTGAGTGTGACGTCATCTCTCGCGTCTTTCACTGCTCAGCCATTCACCTACGCATCCGTCGAACACGCTTGTTTTTCCACAATTTTTTCGTAATGTAATCTAATTTAAAACGTTTGTAAGAGTTGTCGTAGATGGGTTAATTTTAACAATTTAACTTTGAAGTAGTCTATGAAAAAGGTCAATCTGATAATTTACTTTTTATGGTAGCTCAATATTTATTAAAAATAGTGGCCACGGCAGAAAGATAAGCATAAACTTATCTATGAAGTAGTAGAAGGTTCGTTAGAAATATTACATGTCATGTCGTACCTAAATCAGGGCTGTTACAACAGAGCTAACTAAGGGTTGCATTAGTCGAAAAGTTTAGTAAGAAATTACGTGGTAGAGCCATGCTGCAGCTATATTAATAGTATAGTTGTAGTACGAATGGGTCGGCTCGACCGGGAAAGGACCACGCTCTCACAGAATACCAGCGTAAAATAGCAGCTTAATGCTGTTGTGTTTTGGTATAGTGAGCGTAGAGAACCGGAGACCCTTTTTACTGGAAAAGAGGCATTCTATCTTAGCCCTCACGGCTGACAACGCATCTGAATTTTAATTCGCAAACGAAGATAGATGTAGATGTCTATGGGGCACAGCAACCACTTGCTATCAGGTGGACTGTGTACTTTTATTTTGTTTGTCACCCTTATCCTATAAAAAAATAAAAACTTGTGAGAAGTAGACGCAACACTTAATTTTTATTAATGATTTCTCGTTTTTCTACAACGGATCGTACAGCTTTTCATTTAATTGTTTTTGACAAGCAAACTTGTGAGGCACTACGACTTTCTTAAGTTTCAGCAGTCCTGGTACTCGTTTAAACTTTACATAGACATACCATTTAATTTTCAACTTGAAACAAATGAATTTATTGTTGACGACCTGTGTGGTGTAGCTCACTATCAGGAGCTCTGGGCTCGATTTCCGAGCGGAAACGATTCTGGGTAGATTTGTTATTGTAAGCATAGTTAAAAATATTTTACACACATTCTTTAATTGCCGGTATCAGGTCTCAGCTTGGCAGTCTAGCCTATATGCTATACCACATTTTTTGTTGCAATTTTTGTTACAAAAAATGCGGCCCACTAGCTGCTGAAATCGATTATAATATAATAAACAAAATTTATATAGGTAAGCCATATTAGTTACCTATATATATTTATTTTTGAATGTACTTTTATGACTTTACACGCCGATGGCAGTGTGATACCAAAATGTGAAATCTAATCTCGATGCGAGTACCCAGTATGTAATATATTGAAATCATGATTGTTATGATTTTTAAATGCACAACATTTACTAACATCAAAATGATTCTCACAGCAAAATGCGGTAGTTTTTTAATCTAATAAAATCTGTTCTCTATTAAACGATCATTCACTTTTTTTTCTGATATTTAGCTAGTATGGGACCATAAAAAGAATTTATTTGTTGGTTTTTGGTCGTATTGTAACACTCGGGGACGAGATAATGATAATTTTACTCAAAAATAATAATCACAGCGGTGATGACCCGCTCGAAATTACGAGCGAAATAGTAAGTTCCTTTATGTTCCCTTATCCCTAGTGCGAGGCGAGACGCGAGTAATGACGTCATCGCGCTTTGTCTGGCCGGCCGAATTTTGACGATAAGATCGCGCGGGAAAGCGTAGTTACTTTATTCTTTATTATCTCTATTCATTTTTTAAGATAGGAAAAAAATAAAAACACTGTGTTTCTTGGAATTTTCTCTAATTTTGCAACAAACAACAAAAATAGGGTATTTTACACCATGTAAAAAATCAAAGAATACATATTTATGATACATTTTGTAAAAAGTAAACGAGAAATATTGATTTCTATTTATAAAAATCCATTATAAATTTTATATTTCAATTTGAAGAATATTTTTTTTATCTGTTCCTCAAATCTGCAAAACGATGTCCGCCATATTAGATAGCGTCGTGACGTCACAGAAGTATAGTTTAGATTTTGTAGACAATGCCTTCGGGTCTCTTCTTGCCAGTTTTAACCAAGTATTTCTCATATTTAAATCAGTTGGCACTTTAATCTATAAGTTCCCCGGCGTTCTTATGCTCGTATTTTTGCAAGCAGGCACAATACAACAATGATATAGATGATAACTCATCATTAAACATTCAAAAGTATCTTATTCCTTTGCAAAATTGTCAAAATTCTTGGACAGTGACGTCACGAGCTGAACAGTATGGCGGCTAACGTTTTTAGCGAAAATTTAAAACGATAGATTAAAAGTAATTTTTATGTCTCTATTCGGTCTTAAAAATTTTATATAAAAATTATAGTGGTTCATTATCACTCTAGGATTCATCTAAAAGACTTTTTGAAAATGCATGTAGTACCCTATTGTTGGCCTTGTCAATTATTCATAGGTACGAGTATAATCAGTCCAAATTGTAGCTGTCTCTCTCGTTTACCTAGCTAGGTCGTTAGGTTACAGCGTGACAGCAATAGATTAAAATTAACCTATTCTTCAAATTTCTTATAACCCAGATGTCCTTTTGTGATATGCTATTTCTTGATAACCCCGTTTATTTTTCATTAGGGAAGGAAGGTAGGAGGGTGTAGTAGTAATAGACATAACTATTAAAGTCCACGGCTGAACATAGGCCTCCCCTATAGTTGTAGTTGCTATAGTTGCCACGCTTGGCAAGCGGGTTACCAACCGCAGTTATTTAGTTTTAGTCGTTATTAGGAAGACGCTGCTGCCCATCTCCTGGTTTGTTTCCCTCTGTCGTATCTTACGACACCCATGGGATCATATGGGGTAGTGGATATTCTTACACCGCCATTACACGGTAGCAGATGCCAATTAAAATAGTTTAGTCATTGGAAATAATAAAAATCATAGTCATTTAACTAAAAACGGTAAACAGACTAACATTGAGAACCTTCTTAAAATAGTAAATTCAAATTGAACCTATGTAATTTTTGGTTTGTATCTGGGCAGCGTTTCATGCGTCACATGGACACGTCGCAGCACTACGCCAACATGGAGTCCGAGACTAAAGAATTACTCATGGACTTTGTCGAGAAGCATGCAATGACCTATTTACATCAGTAAGTTTTATTATTACTTCTGCAGAAATAAGCCTGGTCTGATTACACAAATATCATTAAAACTATACTTTTTTTTAATAATATTATAAAGAAAAACGAGCTAATAATCCATCCGATGGTAAGAGGCCACTGCCCATGCCTAAAAAACTAATATTATGAAAAAGTCTAATATTATGAGTAAAGAAGACCTATAATAATAATAATCATCTTTATTCAGGCAAATTACACCCATATCCAGTAAAATCAATAAATTTAAAATCAGTCTCCTAAATTTTAGCAATAATTAAATCAATTTCAATACAAAATAACAATTTTAAAATAATAAATCCAGTCAATGTAAATAGGCAGTAATGTCAGTATATAAATAAAATAATGAAATAAAATAACATAAAATTAAAATTAGTAAATAAATAACAGAATTACACACATTTATCAGTCTGGAGACGAGATCAATAATTAAAACTTTCTCTGAGGCAACTGTGCTGCAATAAATTAAATTAAAATCAATCTACACAATTAAAGCAATACAATACATAAATCAATGTCAACAAGATAACAACTTTAAAATAATACATCCGGTCAATTTCAATAAGCATTAGTGTCAGTATATAGAATAATCTAAGCAGATAAAATAAAATTAATACATAATTAACAAAAAAAAAAAAGAACTATAAGAACACACTTTTATTAGACAGGAGACGAGATTAATCAATACTTTCTCAGAGGCAGCTGGTCTGCGACATGCCTTTCGCAACAATGCCGGATAATATAACCGTCTAACCTTCCTGAGATCATCGCTAAGACAGTGTTGGAGCTGGCCCGCACTCTGCGCACCAGGGACGCGGCCCGCTTGCGCATGGTGGCATTGAAGCAATCGATGCGCGCATCCGCAAACATACCAGAGGCGCTACAAAACCGAGGCAACCCCATCACCGCCCTAAACGCATTATTGTATTGGACGCGGAGGACGCTGTAACTCTTCCTACTGTAATTAGCCCATAAGCTGCACGAGTAGAGCGATGTGCAGAACGCTCGGAAGAGTGTAACCTTGACCTCCTTCGAACACCGCGCAAACCTACGGGCGATCATGTTAGCTCTGACAGACAGCGCCCTCCGTTCCCGGTCCATATCAGCGTGATCCCTTAGGTCGAATGTGAGTAAATGCCCCAGATACTGAAACTGTTTAACCCTTTCCAGGGGTACACCATTCAATTTTATTTTAGGTACATTATCAGGACATTTCGCACCAGCGGCCTCAAAGATCATGTATTGACTCTTTCTGACATTATACAATAATCCGTGACCACATGCATATTCCTCGCATTTCCGTATCAGCTTCCTCAGGCCGCAGACCGATGCACTCAGCAGCACCATGTCGTCTGCATAACTCAGATTATTGACACAAACACCGTCAATGTGGCAGCCGACATGCTGACTGCTAAGCGCTACGATCAGCCCGTTGATATATAGATTGAATAGGGTTGGTGATGTTAAGCCACCTTGCCTGACTCCACACTCAAGCCGATACGGATCCGACATTACCCCCGCCCACCTGACACTATTGGCCTGGTTTGCGTACCAGTACCGGAACATGCTGATAAGTTCTTGAGGCAAGCCTATGCTTTGCAGCTTGTCCCACAGCAGGTTATATGTCACCAGGTCAAAGGCCTTGGAAAGGTCGAGGAAGCACGCGTACACAGGCGTCCTGCGATCAGTGTAGTATTTGACGGTTTGCTTTAGACACAATATGGCGCTTTCAGTGGACAAGCGAGGACGAAATCCAAACTGGTTATCGTGGAGCGTTACATGTTTATTCAACTGTGTGTTGAGCAAACCGTCAAACACCTTTGCAATTACGGTGGCAAGAGAAATGGGCCGATAGTTACACTTGTCAGTCAAGTCACCCGTCTTGTTCTTCACTATGGGTACCACCACGGTTTTCATGAAATCTGCGGGCAGGTAGGAATGGCTCACACACAGAGAGTAGAACAAAGCCAAGACCCTAGCTAGGTGAGGTCCAGCATGTTGCAAGTGCTCAACACTAAGTCCGTCATGTCCCGGGGACTTGCCTCCTGACATATCTCCTATAGCTTTTGTTACGTTTTTTGCCAGGAAACTAGTCCCCACTGTTTGTGTGTCCAGGTCAGTGCTGAACACTTCCACTACCGGATCCAACAGGGACTTTACAGAAAACTGGCTCTTGAAAAGATTTGCGATGTCCTTGGGATTGTTCATGCCATCGACGCACACAGGAAGGCCAGGTCGTACATTTATTTTACTGGTGGACTTCCAGAAGCCGCGAAAATCTCCTTTGCTATGTTTCACAGCAAGAGCGTCCATCTTTATTTGGTCTTGATGATTTTGGCACCATTTTAATCGGGACTTGAACACTCTTCTGCTATCACACATTTCTTTGTAAAGAAAACCTGACCTGGGTCTACCACACAATACCCAGTCATTGAATTTAGATCTGGCCTCCCTGTGAGCCTCACTGACGTGTCTGTTCCACCCAGCTATGCGCGGGCCACCCCCAACCCTCCTCGCGCCTCCCCGACTCGCCAAAGTCGCCGCGCCTTGGAGAGCGGCAACAATGTCAGAGTAAAGCTTATCCAGAACATGCCTGTGGCCACGGTCACTACAAAATCGGTCAGCACAGTTTGCACACTCAGAAGGAAAGTCTATTAATTTTAGCCTATTATGACACTCTTTAGCGTACACTGTGATTTGCTCCGCACTCTTTATACCCCATACTACGTCTTTGTTAACATTGGTTACGCTCGCAAAGATCTTAGGATTTATAAAATTTAAATTACAACTAATTATAAGTGGGAAATGGTCTGACCAAAGAGTGTCATACTTAATATCTACACCGACGACAGCCTGCCTCGCCGCGAGAGTTGTGACACAGTGATCCAGCCAACTGCTGGTCCCGTGAACGTCACTAATAAAAGTAAAAGTACCAGAGTCCAGCCCTAGCATATCTACATCTATACATGACCATAACTGGTCATTACAAATACTAACAAGTTCACTGTAAAACAACTCACCCGGGTCCGCATTGAAGTCGCCTAAGATAAACACTGCTTCAATTCCATATTCGTCAATAATAGCGCTTACCGCACTCAAACAGTCTGTAAATTCCTGTAAATTGTCGACAGAGTTTGTCGGCAAGTAAACACTCATCACAATTATGGGTCTATCATTTGTTATAATTTTAATTGCACAAATGCGTGAATTTTCACAATTTAATATTGCCACCTGCTGGAATGCACTATACCGCCATAACAACGCGACGCCGCCATAGGGGCGCCCGCGTAGGATGCCTGCAGATGTATCGACCGCTGATGTCGCCACATAACCAAAACCGCTGTCGATCGTGCCAATAAAGGGTATATCATGATTCAGAATCCAAGTTTCCTGAAGACATATCACGTCACACGTATGGCATAAGTCTCTGACGTCATTAATGGAGCGTTTAACATTCTTACAGTTACAGACCTATGCTTTAAGACCTATGCTTTAAAACCATAGGTCTTAAAGCATAGGTCTTGTCTCATAGGTTTTGTCACTCTTGACGATTAATGTGATGCTCCCCGCAGCACCGGTGCTTGTTGGCTGAAACGGGTAAGAGGGTAAACGTGTAACGGGTAGTTGGTACCAATACGATGCTAACTCTACCGTCAGTAAGCTATTTAATGTTTTATACCTTGGAGGCAGTATCTCTTCTTAACCGAACGATTTGTGAATAAAAAAAAAACTAAAAACCGAATGTTTACTCACTTTCACACCGGAATAAGAGGAGTGGTCATGACGATCCAAGCTAACGGACGGATTAATAATTAATAATATATAAAAGTAAAAGTATTTTTTTTTGATAATAATTAAAAATCAACTTCGACGAATAAAGAAATTTCACATAATAGTTTTAGACTTCGGTGCTAAGACAGTAAGTAGTTCTTCGAAACCTTAAAACTGGTTGTACCAGTGCATGTTGCCTGTGAGACGTGGTCCTTCATTGTTGGGTGTATCAGTAAGCATAAGGTCGCTCAGCGTACTATGTAGCCTTCTGGCTATGCTCAGAGTTTCTCTATATAATAGAATCCGTAACGATGATATCCGCAGTAGAACCAGAGAAACCGACATAGCCCAACGGATCAGTACACTGAAGTGACTGAGCCAGCCATATAGCCAGCCATATATTATACGTGGTAGAGCCACGTATAATATATGGCTAGCACGTATAATATATAGCCATGCTGCAATACGTGGTAGAGCCATGCTGCAGCTATATTAGTAGTATAGTTGTAGCACGAATGGATCGGCTCGACCGAGGAAGGACGACGCTCTCACAGTAAAATAGCAGCTTAATGCTGCTGTGTTTCGTATGGTGAGTGTAGAGAACCGGAGACCCTTTTTACTGGAAACGAGGCATTCCATCTTAGTCCTCACGAGTGACAAGGTATCTGCATTTTGATTCGCAAACGAGGATAGATGTAGATGTCCACAGCAACTACTTACCATCAAGTGGACTGTGTGCTCGTTTGACACCCTATCAAAGGAAAGGGTGACAAACGAGCATACATATAAAAAATATAGTTTGAAGAATCGAAAACTGATTGGGAAAATAGGTTCTCGAGTGGTAACTTCGTACCGTTAAGCGAAGTGTAAAGCGGCTCCGTACTGGATGAAGTAACGACCTAATAATCCATGAGGAAGTCGATGGATGCAGGTGTGGAATGTGCTTTTATGCTCAGCTGTTGCCATGTGAAGGGTGTAATGATGATGAAGGTGGCATGAAAATGCCCTTGTCATAATTTTATGACAGATTAAATTCGCCAGTTCGCGGTAGAACAGTAGGATTAACTCCAGAATATACAATTGATTGAAGGTTTGTTTCCAGTCATAGGCTTCGAATATACTGGCGTATAGACGACCTGACAGCCGGAAAACGCGTGACTAATTTTGATTTGTCATTGTGTGCGTTAGCTAGTGATTTACAT